GCTAATTCCCAGCAAGAGCAGATGATGAGCCTTAGTTTCTGGATTTCTTATAAATACAGAATCAAGCTACAAGCAAGTCATGACCAGAGTCATATTGGTTGCATTCTGCCTGTTTTCTTTGTGGTCAGTACAGGTTCAGTGTAAGAAGAAAATAAGGTTCAAGAGACGGTTGAAAGGTACAGCTGAGCCCTCTAAGCAAAGGGGACCTGCAGTGGCCAGGGATGGCTGTCATTTATGTCCTGAGCACAACAGTGCACCCAGCCTGGCTCTGCACTGCCACCAGACTGTGGCACACATGAGCCAGGGGAGCTCTTTAAACTTATTTCTGTAGATGTGAAACTACCTAAGAATTTTATTGAAAAACCATTCAAGCTTGTCTATTACTAATCCATGTTGAATTTATTTTCAGAGAATCATTAATCATTTATGTGCAATGATTTATGTTAATACATTTTTAACAGCCACTAGGAAAATTACATCCCTGGCATTTTTGGTTTTACCTTTTTTTTCAGTATGGAAATTATTAGTATGAAATCTGTGGTCAATACAAGTGAGTAGAGGAATTCATTCCAGCAGTTGAGAGAATGACTATTAACAGATATAGCAGTTTTTGTGTATTGCATGCCTTTCTTTAAAAAACAGATTGTCACATTATCCCCATGAATCTTTTCATATGCTCAATAGAATGCACCAAGGGCCAGCCTGAGCATTTAAGTTCTTTAAAATGGACCTTTTAGGCTGTCATAAATACCTGCTGAGAGATGAAGAGGTGTTGCATTCTCTTCAATTCTGCTTTTGATTTGTTTTTTCTACCTCATGGTCCTTCTATAACACTAATTAGTTCAGCAGAAAGCGAATCAAGGCAGCCACAAATGGAATTTTACCATGTCATCTTTAAGAGACCCTTGTTGAATGGGCCAGAGGATATTTACATGGACTGAGGTTTCAGAATGTTGCCATGGATACAAATTTAATCACTGGACAGGTCAAATTTCATTAGTTTCGAGAGAAAAATGGTAATGGGATCTGAGGCAAAATGCAATATTGATTGGCTGCCCTGCAACTGCAGAATTCATGCTGGAGCTGTATCGCCATCTTTACTGGGTTTGGATTTAATGTAAAACAATGTATTTGTGTCAAATTTCTTTTGCAGACCACTGCTGTATGTTTCCCAAAGTGCAGAAGAGAACTTGCATTTTCTAACTGTGTGGTAAAATAATCTATTTGGAAAAGAAAGTTTAAAATATCTGTTTTTTTCCAAAGGAAACAGTAATGTTAGAAAAGTTCGTGGTGGACACTTGGCAAAGATTAAGAAAAATTGTATGTTCCTGTGAGAGCTACTTTGGAGCCCTTGGTGTTGAGGTATCCATAACCTCTGTCCTCTGAATGGATTTTCTGGTGTCCAGTAGGGGAAGCTCAGCTTCTCAATCCATGAGGATGTTTCGCCTGTACCAGACAGTGTGAAACTGAGAGGGGTTTGGTACCTTGGAGACTTCCAGTGCTCTCAAATGTGGCTGAAGCTGATGAGCATAAGAAATGATATGTGGAGGATGTAGGGGGCAAAGAGGACATGGAGTCACAGTATGATCTTATAATCCCTGCTTCCTTAAGAATCTAGCCTAAATGTTTTGGCTTACTGAATCACTTTGGCTTGCTTTAGGCATTTTTATTCATACATCTCTTAGGTCTCATTGATAGACTAGGAATTTGCTAATGAGGTGTCATATCTGGGGCTTAGGGATTTTTTCTTTCTTTCTTTTTTTTTCATTTCCATTGAAATTTGCTTAAACTTAATGATGTTCTGAGCCTCAGTGTAAACCATGTTTTTCAGCCTGATCTCTGCTTTTCCAAATGACATCTCCGAACAGCTTTTTCTTACAGATCATACTTGGATCTGCATGTGCATCATCTCAAGGAAGAGCTATGTGTCTGTCAGAGCATTTACAAGGCTGCTCTGGACATTGGAGAGCTAAGAACTTGTTTCTCCTTGTGCTCTCTGGCATTTAGGCAGGCAGCAGCTGCCTCTTAATTCAAAGGCAAAGGAGCAGAGTGACCCTGCTGTGGTAGGAATGGACTTTGGGCCTCTCTTGTTCAGAACCGACACAGCACCTCAAGAGTTTTGCTGCAAATGAATGTGTACCAGGGGCTCTGGAATTGCACTCTGACATTTTCTGATATTTCCCTTCTGGAGAAAGGAGATGTTTAGCATGGACACTGTTCCTTCTTTATGTTATGCTCTCTGTCAGTTCTGGCCAGCAAAATGTTTGCTTTAACAAGGATGAAATTGTTTGTCACAGAGTTGCAAACTCATCTCTGGTTGAGCTGGGTTTTGGATGAAGACCCCTGCACAATCTGTAGGAGGGCCTTCCCCCTGAGCCCCAGCTCTGCAGACCGTTTTTTCAGCTGGAAGTGCTGGAAAAGACCAGGGTTAATGAAAATTCTCCCACCCCACCCCAAGCAGTGCACCATTTGCACGTTGTGCTGCATTTGCCAAGTGATCCTTATTCCCACAGGCATGTGAAGTCTTGCATGAATGAGCTGGCATTGCTTGTGCTATTTTGACATACACTCTGCTTCAAAGTGTCAAATCCCAGTGATGGGGACATTTGATCGTTCATAAACATCTGTTTGGCTGCTGGTTTAGGGCTCTGTGTGGGTCACTCTCTGCAGGAAGAAGCTCTTTTCCTTAAAAGAGGTGTCTGTGCCAAGAGCTGGAAAGAGAGAGTTGGCTGGATCCAGCCAAAGGTTCCGGAAAAGACTTTGCTCTGAATTGCTTATTGATTCCTTCTTGCTGAATGACAGTGTTCTTCCTCCATCTGGAAAAGGAGATGTTTGCATTCCTGCCAAAGGAAAATGTTTGGGGTTTGTAAGTTTTTTTTTTCCTTTGGCTGCTTTTTCTTTGGCTTACTTTTTAATGATTTGCAGCATCTAGATAAGCGTCATTAGCAAAACTTCTCCATGTGCAGCAACTTCATCTGTTTTCAAAGAGCTCTACATCACCACTGCACGGGCCAGCATCTACATCCAGGGAAAAAACAGCCAGCCCAGTGGTGGGAATTTGTCTCATTGATAGGAAGCTCAAGTTCTCCCCAGCACAGAGAAGAAGAAAATGCAGTATCATGGAGAAATAGCTGCGCTCTGCTACTTCCTGAGCTTATGGTGAAGTCTGTGTCCACAGCTGCCTTTTATCCAAGGGGTTGAGGTTTTATAGAAGTATAAATCTTTCAACATCTGAAATGTGACTCACTCCTTCCCTCTGGCAGCCTGAGTGTTTAACCCAGTAAGAAAGATGGGACCACAAATGAGGATTTATTGTCCTGTTCCAGCTTATGGTTTCACTGTAGAAGCCTTCTGGTGCATATAAGCAGGCAGCTAAAAAGAACTACTCTGAAGAAGATAGCAATTGAAAAGGAGGCCTGGTTGGAGATAGTCAGAGGTCAGCATTGGCAACATATTCAGCCAGGCCTGTCCCTCTTCACTGTCATTTTTCTTCTCATAAAGGAAATGAGAGTGTAGACATGGGCCTCCCTGCCTGTTGCCCCTCTGTCACCTCTGGAGTTTAACACCATGAGACTGCACCAAATTGCTGCAGAGCTCCAGAAATGCAGGAAATTGGGCTGGCCCTCACACTGCAGCCGTTTTCCAAAGTAGTTTCATGTCCTTCCTGCAGCTCCTCCGTCCTGCTCCACCACTGTAGCCCCTTCACATTGATATCACCAAAATAAATTCCCAGTTTTGTAATTAGCATCCAGTTAGCTGAGCAAGCAGGAATTCTGTCTGAGGATTGTGCTGGGAACAAAGGACAAGTCAGGCTGCTTATGCTCAAGGGACAGAAAGCAGCAGCACTGGAGAGTGAGATTCAGAATATATTTCATTAGCTGCACAGTCACATCTGCTTTTTATTCCCCCAATGGACTGGGAGACATTCTGTGTGTTAGCATTTCCTAACTGACAGCAGACCAAGGAGATATTTGGACATTTCTTGATCTTGTTTTATGTGCCAATACCTTGGACTTAACTCTGCACATGCTGGCTCCCCCAGGCTCTGTCTGGGCAGCCTAAGTTGCTCTGTGCTGTTTTGCTGGGGGCTGCTGGTGAGCTGCACTGCTCCAGCCATGCCCTGGGCCCCCTCCCCTGCATCTGGAAAGTGCCCCTTGCTTCACCCACCTGCAGGGCTGCCCTCCCCAGGGCTCTCACCCTATGGTGAGCAGCCTGTCCAGGGCATGGTCCCTGAGGTTACCAGTGTGACAGGATCAAGGTGTAGCTGTGCTGCTGCTGGCCTGCAGCTCTGGTGGAGAAGCCTGTGACTGTCACACTGTGTCCCTGGGGCTCTGAGGCAGATTGCCATGATGTGGTGCACCAAAGCAGGAATGGAAAGGCAACAGGACAGTGTGCTCTGGCAGGGCCACCAGCAGGAAGCTGACTGTGCTTTTTCCCTCTACAGGCACATCTCAAGCAGAACGTGTGCATCTTCCAAATATAAGCCACTGCAGGTCACAACACCTGTGACTGCTGAGTTTAACTAGGAGATGGGTGCACCCTCCTCTCTTCATCTGCTCTTTTGTAAGTCACTTTATCTTCAGGTGTGCAGGCAAAGCACGAGGCTGTTTCTAACCCCTGAGCACACAGGCATCATGGAGCAGAAATGATGGGTACCTTGAGACTGAACTGTCAGGGGTGTGATGCAAATCACACCCTCAGAGTCCATTTTCTGAGCAAATGAGAGTGCACTTGGCCGTGGCAGACCTTGCTCCCTCAGCCAGCTGGCCATGGACTCTTCTATACAGCAGGCACCAGGGATGAGCCCCAGACGTGCCCCACTGCCATCAGTGGGTCCAGCCTTACCTTGCAACTCCAGCAGGAGGGGCTGGCAGCTGCATCCCAACACTGAGCTCTTTGCAGGGGCCCAGAGGGACTGCTGGGCACTGAACCAGCTGTGGGCCGGACACTGGGGTGTGTTCCCAAGATGACGCAGCAGCAAAGACAACAAAACAGCTCGGTTTGATCCACACAACTATTTCTTTTTTTAATTATTAACTTGTGCCTTACAATAGAAGAGGAAAGAGTGCGAGCAAACAATTTGCTGGTTCCAGGAACTACTCTGGCAGCACCGCAAGGGCAGCGAGGTCTGATGATGATAACCCTGCCAGGGCACTGACACACAACACACGGAGTCTCCTGCTCTTGCAAAAGCGATTGCTGGCAATTTAAGGCATTGAAGGAAACCTATAGTTGTTAAATCCTATATCAAATTTGGCACAGATTGGAACAGTTAGAGCAGAGACAAGGATGCTTTGCAGGCTGGTGTTCAGGAGTCCTTCAGCTTCCCAGTGCTGACTGGGGCACGATGCTAATCTGGGCACAGGTTTTTCACATGAAGACTGTGCAGCCAAACAAGGGGCCCTCAGACCCTCATATTTGGGAGACAGTGATACCACATGAGGTACTGCACCCCAGCATGATGGTGCCTTCACCTCAAATGTAGCAGTTCCTGCCCTGTGCCTGCTGCTTATAAACCCTATGTGCCTGGCTTGACTAGTGCTGTCAGAAATCAAGACTGGTCAGTACAAAGAAAAATTAACATTCCTTAGAGTTCAAAACTATACGTGGCTGAGATCAGATGTCAGGTGTGGTTACAGTCCAGTTATGGCTATTTCTGTGCTTCTAGGGTTAAAAGTGGATGGCTACAATTCGAGGAGTGGGGAAAAGTTTAGCTGTACATGGATTTGGATAGTAGATGAAGGTATGTAGCCTTGAAACTAGTTACAGTAAACATGTTGAGTTGTTTCCCTCCCCTCCCCAGAGAGCTGGCTCAGCAGAATTCCCAGCTGGCTGCCCCTCGCCCGCCCGCCGCAGGAGGAGAGGGAGCGTGCTGCGCATCCATGTGCCACCACAATGACCAACATGCATCTCTAGCTACCTGTCCTGTGTGCCCCCACCCCATTTAAAAGGGAGCAATGTGCCAAGCTCGGCCTCTGTGTGGCAGGACCCGCAAGGAAGCCATCCCTGGGTCGGTGTCCCCAGGGGAGGTTACGTGTTTTTAAGGGAGGCTTCCTGCGAGCCCAGTGCAGCTTTGTGCCCAGAGGAGCAATTTCAAGGCCGAGTGGAGACTGTTCCCCCTCAAATGCTTGTGAACAGGGTCCTGATGGTTACATCTTTGCATTTGCAAGGATTCCTCCATGCAGGTTTAACCTCCCTCTTTTCTTGACAGAGGTTATGGTTCCTTCAATCACCTCAGCCCTGCTGGATGATATTTTAGAGGTCACTTTAATAACCTCTCCTTGCTCCTCCTCTTTGAAGGACAGAGTAGAGGAACTAAAGCTCCTTGGCTGGAAGGAGTAAGTAGGGCTGGGGAGGGAATTGAGTGATGGAAGGCCACCGCTTCCCATGTTGAAGAGGGTCTCCTCTCCCTCCAGCAGCTTCCTGCAAGCACATCACAAGGGAAGAGGTTAGTATGGGGATGTGAAACATCTGCAAAACTTGAGAGCAAGTTGTGCCCTGCAGGCAGGTCCAGGTCATCACCACAGGTTACACTGCACAATGAAACTGATTCAAAATCGTATTTTGGTCAACCATTTCTGGAGGACTTCCAATATGGGGTACATGACAGCAACTTTTTCCCTTCTTTCCTCTCCAGAAACATGAGGAAAATATCCAAAGCACAGTCTTTTACATCTACTTTTAACTTTGCAAGAGAGACGAGTTTCCAACCCCAACTGTCCCCATTAAAAAACCCTGCTTCTGGGATGGCTGAGGGATGTGGTTCACAGCTGCTAGATCAAGGCAGGACATGGAGCCATGCCTGCTCCCCAGGCAGGAGTATGGCAGATCCAGGTGAGGGAGATGAACAACATGCTTGTGGTGCTCCTTGAGTGTGTACCCAAGTATTTTTTGGGCCCTTGAAAATACCCCAGCCTAGTGGGGTCAGGGGATTGGGTTTGGAAAAAGTCCAGGTAGAGCAGGAATAGAGCAGCCTTACCTGTAGGCAGCTATCTCAATATCAAGGGCCATCTTGACGTTGAGCAGGTCTTGGTACTCCCTCAAGTGCCGAGCCATCTCATTTTTGGTGTTTCGCAGGTCATCCTCCAGCTGTCCAATGGTGTCCTGCGAAGGCAAGGGTGCTCAGCCCTCTGTTTTGGAACAGGGGCTTCTCCCACAGTCCCACTCTGCTTTGCCCATTATAAAGATAGGGAAATTGCAATGGGCAATTGTTCCCTGAAGGCACATCCCGCTAGGAGCTTGGGACCATGAAATGTCATGATAGCAGGGATGAAGAAGCAGGCAGAGCACCAGGCATGGCTTGTGAGCGTGTGAGTGTGGGGAGGCTTTAGCAGTTTCCCATCTGCAGCAGCAGGATCTGTGAGATCTGTGACATGGGCAAACAGTGCATGGTAGTGGGACCCCCAGTCCTGCAGGGGAGAAGGCAGGCTTCTACAGAGGGAAGTTTTGGGCTTAAACATCATCGAAGTAGAGACAGTGGCTCAACAAAGTGAAAGCACCCTGCACTGCAGCAGCAGAGAAGAAAGGCTGCAGTCTGCATCTGCAGGGCTTAAGAAGAGTTGGGACATGCTTCCAGGAGGTGGAAGGAGAGGTGCTGCTTCCAGGGGTCCCCTCCAGGTGGGGAAGTCTGTCACCTTCCTGGGAAAATGCCTCAGAGCCCTGGAGTAGGGGATTCTGAATGCAGGGATCTGGGGAGGTTACAGAGACAGAGGACTGCCCTGCAAGAGCCAGGGTGCTCAGCTGGACAACAGTGTCCTTCTAGCATCCTTCCTGTCAGCCTTGCCCTGCCTTTTGTCCCTTATAACCAGTTCTACCTGTCATGTGGAGGACTCTAAGGCCAGAACTCCTGCTAACAAAGGAGACTAATCTTCTATTTTTTTTTTTTCTCAGAAAACAAGCAGTCTGCATTTTTCCCACATGCATCTAGGTATCTAAGCAGCAGCTTGAAAGCAGTGAAACCTTCTCCCACAGGGCTCTTCCCAATCAGTTTTCCTGCTGCCAGCTGCCCCACTGTGCCACCAGAGGAGCGTGATTTGGAACAGGAATGAGTCAGCAGTTTGCACTTAAGCCACGATGTATCCCTTCCTACAGATCCCTGCAATGGTCACTCTCCTGCACCCCCTCCTAGAGTCAGGCCTTTGCAATTGCATTTTGCAGTCCCAGCAAACGATCTTTGTTCTGCCATATCATCCTCATCTTGTCCCCTTCCCATTCCTATTATGTCCTCAACTTCCTCTCCTCTCTTACCTTCCTCATGGACAGTGCAGAGGCAGTCATGGCATGTGGAGCTGCCCGAGGAGCAGGGAGCTGTGCTGACCCTGATGCAGTGGACCTCGTTTGAGCAGAGCCCCTCAGAGTAGCAGCTCATCCTGAATGCAGCAAAGAGCACGTCACAGTCAGATTAGCTGGGCACACCCAGCCTTGCAGGATATTTAGGAGTTGTCCTTGTGGTCTCTGCTTTGACCTGTGCTACCCTGACCATTTTCCACAGTAAAAGATCTGCAAGAAGCTGTGCCTCTGAGGGCATCACTGGGACATCAACTGAAAAGCCTCCAGGACATGCATGGCTGCTGCTGCACAGATTAAAGCCTCTGCTTCGATGCAGACAGATTGCTGCTGCACCAAGCCAGCACAGGAAGGAATGACTTGAGGTGATCCCCAGCCTGGGACAGCTCCACTCTTGCTGCTGTGACTCTTTGTGCCTCCAGCCCTCTTCCCTCTGCCTGTTGTCTGCATGAACAAAAAGCTCTTTCAAAACTGGTTGTCCTTGTTCCTGGTCTGCACCTCTTCCACACCCGAGCTCTACCAGCTGGTAGAATAAAAACACCCTCCTCACACCACTGCAAACCTGTCTCCTACCAAAAAGCTCTTGCATGTCAGTTCAGATTTGACTGGGCAGCCCACAATTATAAAGACATGCCCCTGCTTTAGCAGAAGGCTTTTAAAAGTTCAGACAATAGAAATATTCTCTAAAACACACTTCCAAACTTTTCCACTGTCTGCAACCAGGGAAATTACTTAACTGCTACACATGCACATTGCTCAAAAGACTTTTAAGTATTGCTACACATAAAACAGATCCTGAGTGTCATATAGGAAAGCACTGCCATGCAGTCACTAAAGCAATTTCAATTATGGTGCTGTTTAATCCAGTTGCTTAATTTTTTTTGCCCAGCTGATAGGTTGCTCCCAGGACCCCTCTTTCTCATGTCATCAAGTGTATTTATGATTACTATGTATAATTTTTTCACTATAGATAATATATTGCCTATTTCCACAAAAATTGTTGAAGACCACCTCAACTATTCAGGAAGCTTGCAAGCAGCTTGGAATTCACGAATTCTAGAGTGCCTGGCAAAATTTGGCCTTGGAAATGACAAGGCATCACTTGGGGCCTCCAGCTGTGATTAAAGGCAGTTGTTTCAGTATTTAGAAGGAAACAGTTTAATTTAGAAACCACAGTTCATTTAACAGCCAAAGAACGATCTCATGATTCATTTTATTATAAATCATGAACATTCCCTTGTAGCAAGAAAACGTGGTAATGGAATGAGAGATATGGAGCACTCGGTGTCTACTTTACATGAGTCTTTCCACAGACGTAAAGATGCTGGGATCTGTCTGCAAGTCCAGATTTAACCTTTGCAGAGCTCCAATTTCTGGAGTGCAGGTGCCAAGAGCCAAGCCACAGGGCAAAGGGCCAAGCCTGGGCAGACAGCTTCGAGGAATTGCCCGCAACAATGTGTAGGCAATTTTGGACCTGATCCTTAAGGGACAGGGCAGGGACAGATCAATGCCCCAAACAGTGCTGCCATGTGCAGGGATGTCCCCTGCAGGAAGAGTGTTGGAGCGGGTGTCCTGGCCTGCTTCCCCAAAATCTGCCCTGTGGGTTTTTGCCTCTGAATAAAGGATGAAGGTGACAGGCAATGCAGTGGTGGGGCAGAATCCGTGTGCAGGGCAGAGAGGCACAATGCTGGCTGGTGGGAAGGCTGCAGGGATGCCTGGTGCTGCGCAGCGCTGCAGGGACACTGCCTGCATGGGTGGGTGCTGCGCAAGGCAAGAGGGGTGGGTGCCGCTCCGTGCTGGGGGTGTTTTGTGTAGCGAGGCACCGATCCGGACAGCGCAGGCAATGGTGCTGAGCGATACAGGCGCGGAGGGGGAACCGCATGGGGGTGTCCAGCGCTGCACAGAACTGCGGGAGGGGCCGCTGCAGGGAACAGAGCTGCGCTGGACCAGGGGAGGGAGAGTGCGGGGTCGCGGGTAGCGGTGCGGTACCGCGCCGGGTGTTTGCGTGGGATGAGATTCCCGGTGCTACACATTACAGGGAGCGGCTGCTGGGATGAAGGTGCCGACTGGTGCGGATGGCGCGGGAGGAGGATGCTCGGTGCCGCCAGTGCCCGGCGCTGCCCGGTGCCAGGGGAGGGGACAGCGACGGTTCCC